AGTTCACCCAAATTACAAAAGACCATATTTTCTTATTTAATTGTATTAGTCTTAGTTTAGACTTTGCACTATTGTGGGATGACTTGTTGCCTTCACCCTGACATGATAAAGGTGACCTGGACTTTGTTTGTGCTGGTCAAAGTGGGGAAAAATTGGAACTTCAAAGTTTTCATTGGGACCATTTGTTGCAATTAAATCAAATGAGTGACGTTCATGGAAATGCTTTAATCAGTACAAACACAACTCCATTCACTTCCATATTTACTGGAGTTGCAGCAAAGAAGTGAGAAAATATGTTGTATATTTTTTGTAATTAGAGTGAACCAGCCCTCAATCTGTTGTTTGAGTGTTTAAAGCAAAATGTCCACCGCAGCTCAAGAAGAACTTGACTTCCCCTTCAAAGCACAGGTGTAAATATTGAAGGACTTCATACAGACAGTACGGCTCTGATTGCCAGATGCCACGGCAGCCTAATTTACCAGTATTCAATCAAACCTGTAATGAAATCTATGCTCTCTCTGCATCAGCACACCTGGAATGAAATGCAGTGCTCATTACCACTATTTTTCAATTGGAATGGATCCGTTACATTAAACCATATCACCTTAGCCCGGTTGCATATATTAAAGTGCATCCAATTGGCTGAGCACTGATGTGGAATATTATGCAAATTCCTAATAACAAGTGTACATGATTGAATTCACCCAACAGCCCTGCGCACACACACACACATATCACGTATACTGTGTGTGTGTGTGTGTGTGTACGTGTACACTCACGCTGACACATGCGATCATGCTCTGTTTGCTAACCATGTCTGTCAGTGCACAGACAGCAGATATTAAAACTGTCAAATTACTGAAGCTCACAGCAGCGAGGCAGAGCTGCTCTGCTCTTCAACCGCATTTAAAAAAAATATATATATATTTGTTCTTTTTCTTCAACCTTTAGGGAGTCTTAAATTGTTATGTTTTTAGTGTGGCGGAAATAAATCTCCAGCATTAGTGGGAGTGGTGGTGGTGGTGGGTAAATGTTTGCCTGTGAAGCCTGGGGCCATTTAGTCTCATCGGCTTCTCGTTGGGATGGAGGAGCCATTAAGGGAACAATTACATGCACTTGTAAGCTTGCAGAGGCAGAAACTAATTAGGGCTATTTTGGAACGTCTTCACTTGATTTTTCCGAAAAACAGAGCACAAGTTGTTCTCCGGGTTACAAAGCATTTAATCGCACCCTTGAGAAAAGCCCGATGTTATGAAAAAGTCTGCAAAAGGAAAAAACAGTTCTTCCTCTGTTTAAATCATTGTCCTATCTGACCTTGACAGTGTCGTCTGAAATGAAAGCAGCCGGCTCTCCTTCCTGGAAATATTTGAAATGGAACATTTTGGAGAGTTTTTGTTTTAATGTCCTGATGCGAAGACAATTGTGTGAAACTCCAAAGTGTTCAGATTACCGGTAATTGGTGTCATGGAAACGCTTATGGGTGCTGTATTGTTAATGAAGTCGATTTAAGACATCTGCGAGAGCTCGTAAAGACAGCAGCCGTTTGCTTAATCACTCGCATGCTCGGGAGAAGTCGTCGCTGCCGCTGTCATTTGTTCACCTGCAGGAAAGAAAATACAAAATACTTCACACATAACAACCGCCAGACCTCCTCCATTTATTTCCCTTATACAAAAAAAAAAAAGAAATCTCTCCAATTAGTAATATGCGGCACCGGTGTAAAACCTGCCTGTTTACATAACCTACCGTCTATTTTTAACAATATGGATGCAATCACACTGCTTCTCTTCCTACGGCGAGAGGGGTTGTTCTCCAACCGTATCACAGCTGCCGCAGAGCACCGGGCTTCAAAACACCCGGCAAAGTGACGGTCTGTCACTCACTGCATCACGTCTGTCTGCCTCTCTCCCCATCCTCCTCCTCCTCCTCCTTCAAATCTGCTCCTCACACATACATTCTCTCCATCTCTCTCTTTTCTCCATCTCTCTGGCTTTCATCTCCACACTCCTCCTATGCTCTTTGCTCCACTGTCTCTTGGATCTTTTGAGTCCTCTCAAAATCACTCCGCTCTTCATCGCCAGTTTGTCACCAAGGTTGAATTTCATCCCTTTATCTCCCCCCCCCCCCCCACCGCCCTGGCTGTCCCCATCCCTCTCTCCCATTCCCTCCCTTGCCTCTACTCATGCAGCCCATCTGTCTATTTACCTTTTGGCAGACTTGGGTATCTCTATATTAAGCCCTCTGTGTGCTGAGACCACGTTGAGTCGACACAGAAATATAATGTGACTACGTTAGAGAGCAACACTGACTCTGCATCTATGTAAACCTTTAAGGGATTTTGTGAAATGAGCGTAAAGCGGCATTAATTAACGCCTCTACTTGAGGTGGCGATTTACCCCAACATCAACGGATAAAAGGTTCAAATAGTTCAAACCCTAGTTTAGTTTCCAGACGCTTGAGGAGCAGCTCAAAGAAAGCCAAGTCGGTGTGTACAGTTGGCCGGCACCTCCTGTGTGCCACCAAGCCTCTTGCCAGGCTGTCTGTATGATTCACAGGGTATTAATTCCACTGTGACCGGTGGCTCCATATGTCCCACGTACCCAGTGATTGAGTCATCCAGTCTGCTCGCGAAACATGTTGTGACAGGTCGTTCGGAGGCTCTGGATTTGTTTACCTCAGCTGCGCTTCTCGACCCCCTGTCGCGCCACTTGACTCATTCCCCTCCACCGGGAGGAACCGTTCAATAGCTGCCTGTATCCACAGCCTGACAGGGAGGGAGGGGGGGGGGGGGGAGTCGTGGTCCAGAGGGAGCCGATGACTCACAGGTAGCAGGGATCCACAGCGAGATGAGAGCAACCTTTCACCGCTCATTACAAGAGCTGCACGCCAGGACGCTGATCAGTCCGAAACCACAAACTCAGACCCACGAAGAGCTGACTAAAAAATAATGTCCAAGATTAAAAGAGTGGGTATTAAAAGGCTCACTGCAGCATCACTTCTGATTGCCTGTCCCACTGGGATTGCAATTATGATTTACGGCTTTTTAATGTGTGCATAAGTCGAAGGCAATCATGAGAGAAAATTTTTAATATTTTTAATTGGAAGCTCTATTCAAAGCATCATTTCTAAAACAGATTACAGTGCACCACCGTATCGCTCTCTCTGGTGCCAGAGCAGCCCTCTAAAATGAATGTAGTGATACATGACAGTCGAGTAATAAGGCTTTACAAGTACACCTGCTCAAAAGTCTACCCCTTGATAATGAAGAGCAAAAATAAGTTTCACTGTAACTTCATGACCTAAATAATAAACTCTTTATAAAAACTGTTGGCCAGAAATAGAGATAAACCTCTAATTTTACAGGATAACATCCTGTATTCTATCTTCTATAGCGATCCCTGAAATCTGAGGCCTTTTTCTGAAACTATTACAAATCAAAGAATTGTTGTTGCATCATTTTGATGAAGTACTTTCATTTACTCGTTAACTGAACAAGCCAAAATCAGACATTCCCATTTGGTAATTACCGGTTTCCGGTTTGGTTTGTCTGACTCTTTTGTCAGCAGGATTATGGAAAAACTACAGGCCCGGTTTTTTTCACGAAGCTCGGTGGACGCGTGCAACATGGGCCGAGGAAGAACTCGTTACATTTTGGGAGCAGATCCGAGTCACGGAGCAGATACACAAATTATTGTTCACTTTGGTTAACGGTGCGAGGTTACGGCATCTGGCCTCAATTGGCCGAGGTTTGCGTTCTCTGAGTGCCCGTCTAGTTTAGTCTATAAACAGTATCTCAATTTACCAGAGCACAATATACCGTATATGTCGTATATATCGCCACTGCCGTATAAGATTATACACTATACCCAATTGCCCACATCATAATTCATTCAGGGATGAATTTCTGTGAATTTCTTTTGCCAGAATTTTCTGGAGCAAAGAGCCGTCGTTCATCAAGTCTGGGTCACTTAATTCAGAGAAAAAGATTTTAAATTTGCTCAAATGCAGACCTAATTATTGCCCTGATCTCCCTTACACGCCTCTTTCCAATCATCCTCCTCCTCATCATCATCATCATCATCATCATCATCATCATCATCATCATTCTGAACCTCTCATCAAGCCTGATTTAGACATCATTTTCTATTTTCCTTCCTCAACGAAGCTTTCGTTAGCGGTTGAGTTTAGCTTGTTTGGAACACCTGCATTTTCTCCCCTCCTCGGTGCAGCTCAGACTAATCAGTTTCACAGAAACTGTCATTAAGGGCGGAGAGAAGGTTCTGACACCACAGATGGCGGCAGCCTCTTGCAAATGAGCTCTGATTACGGGAGGTGGCAGGCTTCACTCCTCTTATCATCGTTACCTTTCACGCCATTAGGTATACACAGTGCTGGGGTCACACAGCCCAAGGACATTCACACGGTAGATTTACCTCAGCAAAGTAACAGTGTGTTTTCGGTGTGCAGACTCTCCCCTCGGCTTCATTTTGAAAGGACTTGACAACCTCATTTGAGTCTGTGTTGGCAAAAGGCGCCGCACTCTGTGAGCTTTCGGATAGACCTGTTATTTTTGGCTCGTTCATCATACCAGGTGCTCTCGCCCCTGATCCTCGCATTGGAAAGCCGAGCCTGTGAAAATGACATCAGGTTGCTGCTACTGTGCTCCCATCAATATTTAAAGCTCCAACTCATTTCAGAGTTGATTTGTCACTGACTGGGGAGCTCTTGGCCTCTGTCAGTCTAAAGGAGAAAGCACAGGTCCTAGGAAGAAAGGCTGTATTGATCTAGCAACAGTGGAGGGAAAGGAAGCCAAGAGCTTAGTTCAAACACCTCTCCCATGCTGTTTACCTCATAGTGAAGCCCCTGTAAACACACCCTGTCTGTCCCAGCTGCTACTTGACCTATATTAGCTCTTGAAAATATATATTTTTCTTCTGGCTCAGTCAAAAAAGCATTAACTGAAATTCCCTTTTCTCTTATCTTTTTTTTCTGTTTTGAAGGTGTCAGGCGGCCGCCAGAGCTGGAGAAGACCAATCACAGTGTCCATTATACTCTCCTGATCGCTTGTGTTTTGGTGGCCTTTGTCCTTGGCGCCTTCCTCTCTGGTTTTCTGGTCTCCTGCTACTGTAACCACACGGGCCACAAGACAAAGAAGTTGTCGAAAGATCCCGAGGCGCCAATCCCACACGCCCTGTCCCTCCGCAGCCTGGCCAAGCTCAATGGCCTCCTGGACAGCCAGAGTAGGGACGACAAGCTGGAGGTGTCCTCTCCAAAGATCTACAACTCTTTCTTCGCCAACAGCCAGGAGCATCACCAGCCAAGGAGAAATGGCCATCACGCAATGACAATGGGAGACCTGGTCCACCCACACCACCACCACCACCACCACCTCCACCATTCGTCAGAGCTGTCTGGTCTGCCTACACCAGACTCCACCCCAGAACTGCCCATCAAGAGCATGAAAGCCTTCAAGAACCAGTGGGAGAAGAACCAGAATTGCAACAATGCCAAGGAACCAAAGTCCCACAACACTGGCTCCAGGCCCAGCTCAGCACTGCTTCACCAGCAGGTCTTCCCGTACTCCCATGGCCTGTCCAATGGGCAGCCATTAGTCGGTCACCTCCATCCAGAGGAACGCAAAATCCACAACGTTGAACGTGTGCTATCTCAGCAACCTTACCCTGGTTACTCCCAGAAGGTGATGGAGGTAACCTCACTGGATGAGCTCCTGAAGCACATCCACGAGGCAAGCAGCAGCAAGAACTCCCAGTTGATTAGCCCGTCGAGTCTGATGGCCTGCGGTGGCGGCGGTCAGCTTGCATTCGCCAACCGCATCCAACCTCAGATTCCTGAGACGGAATCGGCCCCCTACTACAGCTCATCCACTTTACCTCGAGACAGCCTCACCCGACGCATGGATGTGCCTCCGGACATTCCCCCACACCACCAGTCCACACTGGAGAGGAGGCACTCCTCTCAGAGGCACTCGCTAATTGCTGCGGCCACCAAGATGCCCAACGGAGTAGGAGGCGGCGGCGGTGGAGGAGGAGGAGGAGGAATGATACCTCGCCAGCACAGCTTCAGCCAACGAAACGGCGGGCCCCACCAGCCGCCTCCCCTCCTGGCACGGATGAACTCGACGGGCAGCGCCTGCGAGGTGCACTACCCCCTCATCCCCAACGGGTACCTAACACGCCAGCACAGCTACAATGGAGAGCAGCAGGAGGTCCAACACAGGGGCGCCATCATCCGCCGGGCTGCCTCTCTCAAACCCGACGTCCCTCCAAAGCCCCTGTTCATACCTGCCACGTCCCCCGTCAACCAACAGGGAAAGTTCAACTACTGAGGAGGTACACTCCTGGACTAGAGAGGGAGTCTCCCTCATTGTGTCTTCTTAAAGGAACTTCCCTTTGAAGAAATGCAGTGGGTTCGAGGTTGCAGACCTTCACGAGTAAACCAGTCGTGTGGCAGCCAGTGTCACTGTGGACGAAAGCCTCAACCAAACTTGTTTTGTCCTTCTTCTTTTTGTCCAACAAATATCTTTATACCATATTGGTATTGCTCAGCTACTTGCTTATTATAGAACCGCAGACTCAGGTGACGTGACGCCACCTCCTTATATTAGGCTGCCAATGTCCTCAGTGTGGATTTACAATGCAACTTAGTTTTTCGGGACGTGTTGAACTAAACACATCAGTCATCTTGAAGACTTAAAAAAGCCGGAGGCTCCTGCGATGCTTAGATTCATGCTTTTGCTTAATATTTTCTGATGTAGTGTTGGTAACCAGTCCCCACCCGCCCCACCCTCGAATGTGTTTATATTATGCATGTGTGTGTATATATATGTGTGTTTATATCCACACCGTATATGTATACATATACATATGCAGTATATGTAACCTGTGGTGAAAAGTCAGCAAATTCCCCTGAAAGTAGTTATGTCTTTGCCTTACTATACTCTTTCATCTTTTGGGCATATCAAACGGTCCCCCACCCCCCCACCCCCTAGGAAATGTCTTGGGGACACCAAATCATGCACTTCATCCATACATTCTCAGTCGGCTAAATACACTGAACCAAATTTGTTCGTGTTGATAAGAGAAAGGAAATACTTCAACAAAGCAGCTATTCTCGTCTCTTCTCTCTTTTCCTTTGTTCCCCGTCCCAGCAGATGTCGGGTCCAAAGTGACGCAATCGGGTCCGTTCTAAGTTCCTTGAGAGTGTTTCTGTAAGATTGGTGCTCCTCATCTCTCGTGGGTCTAACATCCTCTGAAATGGAAATAAAGAAAACCGAATACCACTAAATAAAAACATGCCACGCCATCTGGCGTTATGAGAATGAACATTAAAAACATAGAACGGACTGCAGTTATTCTAATTATTAACTTTGTGGCTATTGGTTGTAAATAAAGGAATAATTACTAGCCAAATTTTAACTGTATGTGTAAATGTGTGCCTTATTTAATAATAGTGTGTGACATGGGGGTAGGGGTTAATGCAAGGGGCTCAGAAGGCTACTATGCTACAGTATATTGTAGGTGTTTCATTTTCTCTGGTCGTCAGTGTGTGTCACACGGTATCTATTGTATATTTGAAGAGTTTCATTCCAGAATGAGATATTTGTCATTTAAAAGATTTTGTCTGATAACCGCAAGTATGATTGTAACACTCACTCATTAATTATATGTTATATCTTGATTATATTGAGCTCTTTTCTTCTTTTTTTTTTTACAAATTATCATTTGTTGTTATGAAAAATATAAAACACCAGATAGATAGATGTTGTTTTTGTTTTTCCCGAGATGGATTCAGTGTTTTGGAATGAAACCCTTCATTGCTCTTTGCTTTGGGTTTTTTTTATGTGTGTGGTTTTTTTCTTTCATCCCTGAAGTGTGAGCCTGCAGACGGTTTTTTTGGGAGAGTTTGGCAAAACAAATACACAGCCTGAGCCTGCAGACATTCAGGTTTGACTGCCTCCGTTTTATGTCACTTTCCACTGGGTGTCACTTTCCCAAAAGGTGCCATTGTTCACTTTTTGGTTGTTTTTTAGCAGTAGCATTAGCATCACTTTGGGTTTCTTAAAGATCAGCTCACAGTTCCTCTTAAGTTATCTACAGACCTGGAGCCATCGTAGAAGGCTGATGGACGGAGCAGATATGTGGCAAATATGTAAAAAATATAATAAAAGAAATGTCCTAAAGAATCTGAGAATGGATGCAGGCATAACATTGGACTTCTACGATGGTTTACCGCTGTCGACTTACCTGTGTCACCAGGTGTCAACTTCAACAACGCAGGAAGCAAATAAATAGTAGTGGAGAGTTAGGAAATATGTGGAAACGCCGAGAAGTGCAATGAACTCTGATCCGACGAGCTGAGATTGTCTCTTGGATCGATGCGAGGGTGGAACCGGGTTCCCAGGTGCCAAACGTTTGCTGAGCTCTTCCCCTCTGAGGGAAGGTGACGCCATGTCGGCTTCGAGACTCTCCGCTGTTGCACTTTTCAGCAGTCACTTTTGTTCACGGTCGACTGGAACCGCGGTCAATTCTGTGAGAACAGCACTGCGTTATTTACTGTATCTGAAAGAGGTGCTTTATTGATTGAAATTCCCCAGAACTCATTTGACCCGATATAAAGTCTGCTACTCATAACTCCAACTCCAGTAAATGAAGGAAAATACGGCCGACCGTGACGTTTGTGCAAAGGAGAAAAAGAAATAATAAAAAAAAAGTGTATTTGGATATTAACAGGCAGCAGAGCATTAAATAGCTTTGGAACAACAAATACAAAACATCCAACGTGATTTAAGGGCGTGACCGTAATGTTTCATAAGAGGAATTGTGGCAGCCACAGTGTTTGAGGAGTGGAAGTGTGTGTTGTTTTGTATCTGCCGGTGACAGATTGTAAGGGAGAGGGAGCGGTCTCGCCTCTAAATAGCTCTATCAGTATTTGATTTGGTGTAAATACATTCTATCTGGACGGGGTCTCATTGATTCAGTATTATGTTTTGTTTTTTTCCTGTTTAGTTTCCAGGCTACGCCTCTTGAATTACTATGAATTTGGTCTCACAGAATACCATTGTATGTCTCTTATACTAGGAATAAAATGAAAATATGACAAGTGTCTCACTGGTGAATGTGTTGAAATGTTCCTTCTATGGGTGATGCATGAAACGCAGCGGTGTGATGGGCTGCACTTCAACACAATAACCTCACACTACCTCTCAGAGGATTGGTGGAACGTTCGGGACCAGTGATTTATTTCTTGATGCAGATCCAGGACAGATGTCTTAAAGGGATCCTCCCAACATTTTGGGAAACACATGGCTTCCCTGTCTCACTGGCGGTTGCATTAGCAGATCAGTATTCATTAAATCTGTGAGTTTTTGTAGAAAGGGATCCTAGAAGTGTTTAGCCTCACTGTACGGTGAAGAAAGCCGCTTAGAACTGCAGTCCTCGCATGAGGACGAGACGAGTTACAGCAGCACGAGGTGAGGACGGCACACTCCAAACATACAAACCATAAGAAATGCATTCCCCAAAATGTTGGAAGAATTCCTTCAACATTGAGTTCATTTGTACCTAATTCGATTTTTGCCAGAAAAAAAATCGACACAGAAAAGAAACTAAAGAAGTTAGCATGTTGGGGAAAAAAGGATGTTATGAAGTTTGAAGAAAACTGATTTTTTTTTAATACATCTTGATGTTCTTCCGTAGGCAAAGTATACACTTGTCATTTCAAGACATTTTCTATGATTGAAATGTTGGTAATTTTACAGTTGTGCACATTTCTCACAATTTCCTGTCAAAACCAGAGGAGGCAACTTCAGAGAAGCCAGAGTGAGCTAGTTTATGTAAATATCCAACCAAAGCATATAGGTTTATATAAATATGTATTTATACATACATGTATGTATATATACATACATGCATGTATAAATACATACATGTATACATAAATACATACATGTATACATACATGTATACAT